AAATTTTGGCCCGTTTGACCTTGAAATAAAGGTCAAAGATCAAATCCAAGGGCATATTTGAAATCTACACATATGACCTTTGGAAAGCCGTCTGTAGAAATTTTTCCCATAATTCCTTCCGTAGGGTAGATAATTAGCATTTAATTTTGCCATTTTTGGACAAGGGTGCATTGCAATGAGTGCCACACCTAGACCCCAAAACCGACAAAGCCCAAATTTTACGTGGAACGAGTTGAGATTATAGGTGACCTAAATCCAAGAGATGGGTACGGGGGCCCTTACCGTCTAGGAGGAGAAGCGGTAACGGTAGCCGTCCGGCGGAGCCGGCGGAGCCGCAGGAGCCGGCGGAACGATCCGGACGGGACTAAAACCATGTGTACCGCCAGCGCTAACGCTGGTGGTACAATTAAGCAAATGTGACTAAATGGTTTTGATACATGTAGGCATCTCCAGTGTGATAGAAAGGTATTCTTGGATCTGTTACTTTACACTTTCAATGTTAACTAACCATTGCAAGAACTTTGGAAGCAAGAATTTTAGAAGCAATAGGTTAAAGAACTAAAAAGATTATATTTATCGCCATGGGCATGGACAATTTTTTTTGTTTGTTTGTTTTCTTGTTCAATTTCACCTATTACTCGTAGTGCATGTTGTTTTTCCCATCCTATTACCCCTTTTCTCCTCTGCATCATTACTTTTCCACACAGTTATTCCCCTAAACTATAAATGACCCTGGTTAAAATGATGTTCAGCAATCAGAGTAAGCCATATTGTGAATAGTTTTACCTGTAAGCTACCAAGCAGAATAGATCATGCAACATTACAAGTAGAGACTCAAACTAAAAAACAGGACTATAATTCAATTGTAGAGACATCAACTGGCAACATTACAAAACAATCTCAACTAACTTAGCACATATACATATAACACTGAGGCACTGTGGTATAATGGTTTTGGATTGCTGTTGGTGTTCTCTGGTTATGCATTTTAACCATTTTGGAATCCTAGGTATAACATGACATGTTTTTCAATCATGTCTGCTTCCTTAATTAAGAATTTTTTTGAGCAAAATGTTCATTAGCTTGGTAGTTGAATCATAAATGAAAATTATCAAGCACAAGCCGAAAATCTTTCATACTGTTAGCTTACGACCAGCCTGGATATAGGCCTATGTTATGAAGAATTTTTTATCTTTCTTAAATTTTTTCATGGCAATTGTACAGTTAATCAGTACATGAAAAAGTATTAAATGATACATTATCTAAAACAAATAACAACACTTTTAGTGTCTTTTTAAAAAAGACTGTCAACCTGCACAGAACATACAGTATAAGTTTACCTAAATAATAAATAAATAATATCCATAAAAACAAAAGACAAAACAAAGCCTGCATATCAAATACAAAAATGAATGTATCACAATTCTACCTATTCATACAACATTACTGAGATCAACCAAGAATGCGCATGAGCACCAAAAGCATCATCACAATTAACTGCCATCTTGGAAGTCATCATGTGCAGGAATATCAGTGTACCAATTGTAATCGTTTATCATCACATGGGAAATAGGACAGAAACTTTTATTGGAAGTCATCATGTGCAGGAATATCAGTATACTGATTGTAATCGTTTATCATCATGAATGTCCCCATAGGATAACTGGTCATTGAATACATCTCAGCGCTAGATCATCAGCGCATGACCAGTTTGTCCTGAGGAAGGCTCTTGAGTAGAGCTGAAAATCTGACGTTATAAAAGCATTATCTGTGATACTATTAATTCAACAATTCATGCATACAATGATACATACCAGACTAATGAACTTTTTTAAGAAGACTGTCACAGTTTTCAGAAGGAAAGGACACAGAGTGAGTCACAGGGGACAATATGTATCCAACATTTTCTTCAGACCTAAAAAATATGGTGATCACCACATGATCCTGAATCTAAAGTCTCTAAATAACTTTGTAAAATACAGACATTTTAAAATGGACAATATTCATACATGCACACAGCTTATGGCACAAGATTGCTTTCTAGCTTCTACTGACCTCTCAGATGCCTACTACACAGTACCGGTACATGATAATTATCAGAATACATGAAATTCACCTTTGATAACCAGCTGTACAAATTCACTTGCTTAGCCAATGGACTAACTTCAGCGAGGGTAGGGAATACCCCCCCCCCCCCTTAATCACCAATCACGAAGAATTAAAACAGGTCAATCACCAATCACGAAGATATATTCAGGCCAATTACCATTCATGAGGATACAGACAAGCATTTTAAGTCATACACCAAGCATGAGATAGAAGTGTGTGGGAAAGTTATTATAGAGACTTCCTACAAACAAAGAAAGGCTTCGATATCATTCTACATTGTGAAACATGACCAAAAGCCAATCCTATCTGGGGAAGCCAGCAAGAGGCTAGGACTAATTCAGAGGATTCACAAAGTCAAGTCAGCAGAAGCAGAAATAGATAAGTACCCTGAGTTCAAAGCAACAACAGGAACATTGCAAGGTATTTACACCCTGAAAATTGACCCTACAGTGCCGCCAGTTGTCCACAGTCCACGGAGACAGCCTCAAGCCTTAATGCCTAAGATTAAAGAAAAGCTAAGGAAATGGAGGAGGCAGGTCACTTGGTAAAAGTTAAAGAGCCTACAGATTGGGTGAATTCCATGGTGGTAGTTTGTAAGAAAGATAAGGTCAGGATCTGCATTGACCCAAAGGACTTGAACAAAGCCATAGGAAGAGAAAATTACCCCATACCAACGGTTGAGGAAGTAGTAGGATCCATGTCCTCTGGTGCGCATGTCTTCTCAGTCATAGATGCACAGTCAAGATTTCTGCAATTGAAATTGGACTACGAGTCAAGTCTCCTGACAACTTTCAACACCCCTGTTGGACGTTACTGATTCCTAAGACTACCCTTTGGTATAAAATCGGCACTTGAGATATACCAAAAGGCCATGGATCTCATGTTAGAGGGAATCGACGGTGCACAAGGAGTAATGGATGATATTCTTATTGCTGCTGAGACTCCTGAAGAGCATGACCACATCCTGAAGAGAGTGGCAACAAGAGCAAAAGAGTTGAACCTAAAACTCAACTTCAACAAGTGCCAAATCATACAACCTTGTGTGAAGTATGTTGGTCACATGATAATTCAAGAAGGCTTAAAATCAGACCCTGACAAGGTGAAGGCAGTGAGAGATATGCCAGTACCAAAGTCAAAAGAAGAGGTAAGATGTTTCCTTGGTTTCATTCAGTACATGTCCAAATTCATACCAGACCTAAGTAAACGTAGATGCACCCTTGCGTGAAGTCACAAGACAAGGAGTTTTACTGGAGCAAGCCATAGGAAGAAAAGTTTCCAAGCTTCAATGTCTGTGTTGTGAGACACCAGTACTTGCGTATTATGACCCTAAGAAGGAGCTTACAATACAGTGTGATGCCAGTAGCTATGGAGTAGGTGGAGTTATCCTACAGGAAGGTCAGCCCATTGCTTACTCGTCCAGAGCTCTCAACAAAACAGAGCAAAATTATGCACAGATCGAAAAAGAAATGCTTGCTGTTGTACATTGCTGCAGAAAGTTTCACCATTATATATTTGGATGCCATGTTACAGTGGAGAGCGACCACAAACCATTGCAGGCAATTTACAAGAAACCTCTGTTGTCAGCTCCTATGCGTCTACAGGGAATGATGTTCAAGCTACAGCCCTACGATATTATGCTTAAGTATAAGCCAGGGAAAGAGCTAGTAATAGGAGACATGCTCAGTAGAGCAAATTTGCCTAACACAGTCCAAGATATGGGGCCAGTCTACATTAATATGGTGGATTATTTGTCAATTGCTCCAGCAAGGTACCAGCAATTCCAGGAAGCAATAGCCACAGAGCTTAGTGAGTTGCATACTATGATTCTGAAAGGATGGCCAGACACAAAGGAGGAAGTGCCCCACTCTATTAGGCAGTATTGGAACACAAGAGAGGAACTCTCTGTGTATGATGGCATTGTCTATAAAGGAAAGAGAATAGTAGTACCACCCAGCATGCATTCTAACATGCTTTCTCAAGTACACAAGTTGCACCTGGGCATCACCAAGTGCAAACAGAGAGCAAGAGAAGCCCACTACTGGCCAGGCATGAATCAACAGATTGAGAACCTAGTAAATGACTGTGCCATTTGCAATTCATACCAGAACAGTCTACCGAAAGAAACACTCAGACCTATGAAAACCCCTGATATGCCATGGTCTGAAATTGGATCGGATATTATGGACTGGAAAGGAGAACACTACTTAGTGACTGTTGATTCCTTCTCCAAGTACACAGAGGTGGATAAATTGTTAGACCTCAGTAGTGCTGCAACCACTGATGTTTTGAAAGCACAGATTAGTCGTCATGGCATCCCATTGAAGATGCGTACAGATAACGGTCTTCAATACAGCTCACAAGAATTTTCTGAGTTTTGTATGGACTTTGACATGAACATGTAACTTCGTCTCCAAAATACCCTCAGTCAAATGGAGAAGCAGAGCGTGCTGTTCAAACAGTAAAGAGACTATGGGAGAAATGTGAAGACAAACATCTAGCTATGTTGGACTACCGTAGCACGCCTCTAGAAAGTTGTGGCCTATCACCCACTCAGATGCTTATGTCAAGACAACCCAGGAATAAAATCCCTATAAGCAAAACTTTGCTGAAGCCAACAGCATACAAGTTAGAGGATGTCATAAGAGACCTCGAGAAAAGTAAAGAAAAGCAACGCATCAGTTATGACCAAAAAGCAAGTGGACACTTGCCAGTCTTAGGCCGCATTCTCAACAAATTGAGCCAGGCTTTACAAATCCTGAGAACTAAAAATGGCGGATGTACATGAAAGAAAAACCGCCTAATCTTTTAATAGTCTCTCCGCCTCTCACACGCCTCCCCACACGTCGTCCCTGCGGGGTACAGTAATTAAATCTCGGCTTCGTTCGCCATGCGGAAGCTACCTGAGAAATATTAAGTGCGCAAGCTCATCAGTTAAACTCGTGGTGAAGAAAGCATGGCGGCTGAAGGCGATCGAAGGAAAAAAGCCCTTCTGTTCTATTATCTTTCAAAACAGAAACGAAAAAGGAATGAATTGGCCCGTAGAGCAGCAATGAATCGACTATCTACGGAGATAATATCACCAGAGATATTCACAGAGATATTCACAGAGATACCCAGCCCCAGTAGACGGAGCCGAGATTTAATTACTGTACCCCGCAGGGACGACGTGTGGGGAGGTGTGTGAGAGGCGGAGAGACTATTAAAAGATTAGGCAGTTTTTCTTTCATGTACATCCGCCATTTTTAGTTCTCAGGATTTGTAAAGCCTGGCTCAATTCGTTGAGAATGTGGCCTTAGTGAGAGGAGACCCAGTGTACATGGCACCCTTTCCTGGAGCCAAACAATGGCTGCCAGCAACAGTAGTAGATCATCATCACTATCCTAGATCCTATATTGTAGAATATAAGGGGTGAAAATACAGGAGAAACAGAAAGTACCTGCACTTGTCGACCTACAGAGCAAATGAAAGAAACACAAAGCCCAAGATATTGGATATTCCCATACCAGCTTCCAAAGAAACACCAAAGAAAGAACCAGCTTCAATGTTAACTGGCACAGAAACCAGTATGACCACTAAACTAAAGCAAGTTAATACCCCGTCGGTGAAAACTGAAAGCAAAATTCCTATTATTACTCGTAGTGGCCGTNTTGTGGTGAAGAAAGCATGGCGGCTGAAGGCGATCGTAGGAAAAAAGCCCTTCTGTTCTATTATCTTTCAAAACAGAGACGAAAAAGGAATGAATTGGCCCATAGAGCAGCAATGAATCGACTATCTACGGAGATAATATCACCAGAGATATTCACAGAGATATTCACAGAGATACCCAGCCCCAGTAGACGGAGCCAAGATTTAATTACTGTACCCTGCAGGGACGACGTGTGGGGAGGTGTGTGAGAGGCGGAGAGACTATTAAAAGATTAGGCAGTTTTTCTTTCATGTACATCCACCATTTTTAGTTCTCAGGATTTGTAAAGCCTGGCTCAATTCGTTGAGAATGCGGCCTTAGTGAGAGGAGACCCAGTGTACATGACACCCTTTCCTGGAGCCAAACAATGGCTGCCAGCAACAGTAGTAGATCATCATCACTATCCTAGATCCTATATTGTAGAATATAAGGGGTGAAAATACAGGAGAAACAGAAAGTACCTGCACTTGTCGACCTACAGAGCAAATGAAAGAAACACAAAGCCCAAGATATTGGATATTCCCATACCAGCCACCAAAGAAACACCCAAGAAAGAACCAGCTTCAATGTTAACTGGCACAGAAACCAGTATGAACACTAAACTAAAGCAAGTTAATACCCCGTCGGTGAAAACTGAAAGCAAAATTCCTATTATTACTCGTAGTGGCCGCGTCTCTCAGCCACCAAGAAAACTAAACTTATAACAAATCAATACAGTGATTCATCATGGGCAGAATAATCCCATCAATCAATGTACTTGTAGCCTTAGATAGTCCACTCTGAGGCTACCCTTTAGTTTCAAGTTAAATTGTTGCAAGTCAGTTGGTTTAAGTAGTTTGTTATTGTTTCTTCATCAAGCAACAGAATTCACTTTTACAAATTAAATAACTTTAATCTTATTTGGAACACTACAGAGAGACGATTAACTCTAAGACGGTGAACTTTAAAAAAATTACTTTAACAGAGATGACATTGATTCATGTTGTTTATGCTTTATTCAAATGATCTGCCCGATACCACTATAAGGGCTGCGCAATGGCTAGACCAAAATCAGTTTTTAAAGCAGAATGTTGCTTGTGTTGTGGTACTGACCTTCGACTGCAAGATATTCTTAGTTCAAACTTGAAACTCGGCGTTAGTCACTTTGCTTCTTGTCTCGTCTGCATGAGATAAGGTAAGCGCAAGGTGGGAAAGGCAGCTCCAGGCAGCACAGAGACTTGTGACTTCCAAATATGGAAGTGCCCCAGGCAAAATTTTGCTGAAGAATGCCTCCAGGTTGACGGTAGTGGCTAGAGCCAGTTTTGCTGATATGGGTTATATATGAAATCAAGATTGAGCTGGCAAAACTGAAATCTAGAACCTAGGGTAACTACTGGGGATAGATGGGCAGATATGGACCTGTTTGCACATATTAATTATCTGGAATTAAAGGCTGCCTTCTTAGGTTTATGCTCCCTGTGCAAAAATGAACAAGATACTTACATCCTTTTACAAATGGATAATACCACAGCTGTAGCCTACATACAAAACATGGGTGGAAATAACTCTCTTTTTATTAGCAAATTAGCAAGATATATTTGGTTTTGGTGCAAGTCTAAAAATATCTGGCTAACCGCAACACACATTCCTGGTAGTGAAAATAGGGAAACTGATCAAACAAGTAGGAAGTTTGATGGTAGACATGAGTGGAAACTGGACAGCGTAATATTTAATCAACTTGTTCAATTATGGGGCCTACCAGATATAGGCATGTTTGCCTCTAGAATAAATTACCAGTTTATTCCTTATGTATCTTGGAAACCTGATCCCAAAGCTTTCCCTATCAATGCATTTACCATTAATTGGTTTGGGAAATATTTATGGTTATTTCCTCCTTTCAGCTTAATCACACAAGTACTCAAGAAACTGAAGGAAGACCAGGCCAAAGCCATCCTGATAGATCCAGCTTGGCCCATTCAGCCATGGTGGCCAAAAATCCGTCAGCTCCAACCAGTGGAGCTCCCACACAGACAGTCACTACTCGCCCTCCCATCCAGCCCGGACCTGACTCACCCACTATGGCCCAAGTTACGGATGATGGCCTTTCTCTTGTCAAGAAACACAGGTAGAACACAAGAAATTATTATGTACTCCTGCAGGAAAGGCACAAAGAAACAATATCATGTACCGGGTATATCTGTTGAAATGGACCAAGTTCTGTGAAACTAATCATGTTGATCCTAGCGAACCTTCAGTTGCTCAAGTACTTAATTTCCTCACTTCACTGTATGATTCTGGCCTAGGATATTCAGCCCTAAATACAGCCAGATCAGCTCTATCTTCAGTAGTAGACTTAAAAGACAGCACAGACACAGTTGGAAATCACCCATTGGTGAAAAGATTCATTAAAGCTGTTTTTCAATGTAGACCCAGTTTACCTAGATACTCGCAGACTTGGGATGTTTGCACTGTCTTAACCTACCTGGAAACATTATCCCCAGCAAACAAAATTACTTTAAAACAGCTTAGTGAAAAACTGTCAGTGTTATGGTTATTGGTGACAGGAGCTAGAAGTCAATCTATTCTCCTAATGAACTTAGATAACATGATTACAGAAGAATCAGCAGTTAAATTTCTTATGGTGGACTTGATCAAGCAGTCGGGGCCGTAGCAATAGTCCGAAGGTTCAATAGTCCGAAGGTTCATTGGTCTGAATATTCACTATAGAACCTTCGGACCAATGAACCCTTGATTAAAAAATCGAAGGAAATGTTACCACTTTTCGGACCAATGAACCTTCGGACCAATGAACCTTCGGACTATCGAGACGCCCCCAAGCAGTCAAGACCAGGAAAACAACAACCAGACTTAATCTTACCAGCTTATCCCACAGATGAAAGACTTTGTGTGGTTACATTTTTAAAAGAATATATAGATAGAACAAAAGACTGTAGAAACAGTAGAAAGTTGTTTATTAGTTATAGAAAACCCTACAAAGGGATTCGCAGTAGCACATTATCACGTTGGATTCGAAATGTCATGTCTAGCTCTGGATTGGACAGTACTCTGTTTAAAGCACATAGCACTAGATCAGCTTCGTCTAGTGCAGCAAAGGGCATGAATGTGCCTGCAGACACCATTTTGAAAACAGTTGGATGGAGTCAATTAAGTACCTTCTGTACCTACAGGGGTATTATGAAAAGCCAATTAACGGGAGTAACAACAATGGGACAATTAGATAAAGCACTTGGCAAAAAGAAGTAACATAAAAAAAGTTGTTGTTTATTTGATAATTGAGTTGAACCATGTGAGCTTTAAAGTCTCGGTTGATCTCAGTAATGCTGTATGAGTAGGTAGAATTAATAAATTAAACGAGACTTACCTGTAAGGTGAAATTTGATTGGGATTCTACCTACTCATACACAGCATTTGAGATCAAGCGCCCACCTCATTCCCTCCCATTCTAAATAATTCACATGGTTCTCCTGCCTTAAAATATGACGCTTCTGGTGCACATGTGCATTCTCCCTTGATCTCAAATGCTGTGTATGAGTAGGTAGAATCCCAATCAAACTTCACCTTACAGGTAAGTCTTGTTTAATTTATTAATTTTAAGGTAAAAAAACAAGTACTTTTTACATGCAAAAATTGGTGGGAAATTGTTCTGTAAAAATAATTTTAAAATATTTAAAAATAACAAAGAAAATATACTATCTCTGGGAGCTATACCCAAATATAATTTTGTTACAAAAGTTGAGCTTTGATTGATTCAGCGACAGTGTTCCAAGGTTATCACCTGCTTGCTACTTATATCATATCAGAAGAAAATCAAGAAGTACAATATAAACAATATAAAGTACTTAGAAAACCTGTTTAGTTTTAAAGGTGAAACACTTATGCACAAATTCCACACAGCAGCACATTTTAGGTCATTTCCTGAGGATGGAGTTTATGTATGAAACCATAGGGACCCTCACTGAAACCAAATATATAAATATATATAAAAAAATTAGGCAGAATCTCAAACAGTAGTAAAAGTGGCTGATAAAATCACTATAAAAATGGTCACAATAAAAACAACCTGAGGAACCACACATGTATCTCAAAGTATCCCATAATACAGAAATTTGACCTATTAATGAGAACATAAACTTTTTAATCATATAATTGCATTCTATACAATGGCATTTCTTACTAAATTTTTGCCTAACAAAGGTAACATTGTCAAATACAAAGATTTAGAAATCAAGAAAAATCACTACAGCTGTCAGTCAATTTACCTGATTTCTTCTTTTCTAATTGTCTTTCCTGCTGCAAATACCTCAGCAGCTTGAGATACGATTGGATCAAAGTTCAAACTGGAAACTGCTACAACACTGTCCCCTCTGTAATAGTAATCTTATTTGAAAATGATTGGAAAATGTTTTGATATTCATCATATCAACATAGATAAAAATTTATACAAGGAAGATGCTTCAAGTGTTAGAGTTCACAAGCAAAAATTGCATAATATCATTGTATATTTTTTCAGAATAACTGTACCACACAAACTTATTGAGAGTAAGTTAATTTTTATTTCTCATGCAGCCTACTTCTTGGCACTTACTTTGTGTAAAACGCAACAAATTTCAATTCCCCAAGATCCCCATGTAAAACCACTTCATCATACCCAGCACCATAACCTACAAGTACATGATTTTCATACTCTTGTAATGTAAATGGTTGTATTGTAATTTTTTTTAAGTGAAAAATAATACCATGTATCAAAATAAAATAAAATGCAAATTTTTATTTAAAGTTTCACTACCAGACATTCATATGACTGCCATACTTCTGGCTTAAATGCTGTACTTACGCATTATTATATCAGATATAGTTAATGTGTCAGCTGTTATGAACTCCAAATGATTGATATTTTGTAAAACTATACAGCACTGAAAACCTAATGTATACCAGTGTATCTGAGGCTCTTTCCAAATAAAACCGTCCAAAAATAAGGTACGCTGTAAATTTCTGCATCTTGACCTAGCATGTTGAGTGCTGCCACACGACCTATGATAAAAATGGTGACAAAAATTTACCATATAATATTTTTCTTGTCAAAACTGGCAGTACTGATAGATGGCTTGAGCAAAATTCAATGGTGCTTTACATCACTGATGTTGAAAACTGCGAAGATATATAAGAATTCATTTGAAAGTACTGAGAACAATCCCAAGCAAGAGTATCACTAGGTTTTTGTGATTTTGAACAGTTTGTGCTTAATACAGCATGTATGATGTATTGATATCTACTGCATTCAGATTGTGATCTGCCCATGTTACTGTTTAATGCTAAATGCACACTGTTGTTGTACAACATTTTTTTACATGATTTCACCTAACACATTCACAGCACTGTCCTATCACAAATACTTAAAGCTAATTCTCAAAAACACACTTTTTGAACATACAGCCACCTACCATGAGCCTGTGCCATCTGCCAGTGACCAATAGTAGCTTTTCTGTCTCCAGTCAAAAACAAAGGAAATTCAGCAATGTCTCCGGCCGCAAAGATATTGTCCTTGTTTGTTTTCATGAACTGAAGAAGGGAAATGGCTAAAATAGTTCAACTCATATCAGTATTAAGTATTCAATGATGCAATCAAAAATTAAGACAATAATAGATAAAATAAAAATGCAAACTTCTTCCTACATCAAAAGGTAGCAAGATCTTAATGAATACCAGATAGTTCTTACCATTCCTGACTTTTAGACATTCTCCAAATTTCATAAATTTTGTATACTTAAAAAATTATTGAAATCAGAAATAAATGATGACACCAGTTTGAACAAAACCCTAGTCATACAAACGACACGTACCCTGTCTTTCCCATTAACATATTCTTATTGATATTAAATGCAATACCTTGTCTACAATGACATGACCAGAGTCATTCAGCATCACACCACTGCCCTCAAGAAAGCCAGTTGCTGGAGTGACACCTACAGGGTAGAATGATACCAAAATATGAAATCTGAAAATTAACTCAAACTTTGTCCATTTTCAAAACTGATCCCTAAACTTCATTTGAGTAAACATTTTAACTATAATTGTAAATATTGTTATATTTTGTTTTAAAGATAATCTATCACTAACAATATCAAAAGAATTTTCCAATAAATTTTCCATTGACCTGGTGGCAAAATCTGTAATTTACCAATTTGTTTGTTATTTATGTAATGGACATGGGTATTCATTCAGTTGGATCAAACCCTCTCTCAATTCAATGATACTCTAAACTTACCTATACCAACTAGGACCATGTCTGCAGGCAATGTACCCCCATCATTCAATACAACCTCCCTCACAGACCCTTCACGACCAATGAATTCCTTCACACTATCGTTGTTAAAAAACTTCACGCCCTTCTCTTCAAAAAGCTAAAAAGGCATGTTGTATGTTCTTTTCAAGATTATTTTTGTCAGTGTACATCTGCCATTATCAAACTCTTATTGTTTATCATTATGGAATGTGTATTATACACACATACACCACTGTAGTGGTGATAAGATGCATTCATAAATATCTGTATGTTAAAGAGGATCTACTTTTTATATTCTTTAAAGCAGTAAGGGATTCACTTTTGACACAGAAATATGTGTCACTTAATTTATGGTAAATTCCCCGTGTTTCTTGTGTCCTTGGAAAACTGCAAAAAATTTCCAAAGAGTACTGAACTCTTTACTTTCACATCACAATGGCTCTGACTAAATCATTATTTTATTGCTAACTGCATCTAAAAAAAAACATACCGATGCGTTCCATTTCATAAAGCCACATAGCACTACTAAATACCATTATTTTTATCCCTTTTAACACAAATCCAATTTTATTGCAATAAAAAATTACCTTTAACAATCTTTGTCCCACCTGTTGTCCCAGCACACTTTGGAGAGGTACAGATGATCTGCCTATTACAGATACAGAAGCTGCTTTACTTGCCAGATATGCTGCCACCTCCATACCTGAGAAGTAAAAAGATATTTCAGAAACAACATGGAACCAGGGAAATTACTAGGGAATTACTACTACTACTTGATGGAAGAATGAAGGAAAAACTGTACTAGGACGTAAAAGCAAGTTTCCAAAAGAGAAACTGATGCAAAATAGATAAATTGTATGACTAGCAAAGAAAACAAAAGAAGCTAGAGGGGTAGAGATAGCTGTCCTAGGATGTAAGCTACAGTGTAGTATTCCATACTTCCCATCATTCTCCATCAATGACTCATATTTTAACATGCACATGTTCATATAGGAATTCTAAGAACACACCAAGGACTTTTGAGGCTCTAATTCAAGTACTTCTCAAGGCTACAAATTAAATTCAAGGTGCGGAGCTAAATTCAAGCACTTTTTAAGGCTGTATGAACAATGTATAGGCTCCATTAGGCCACAGTTAAAGTAGCTTTTTTTGCCATTGTGAAAATAATGAATTTTGATTCTTGGGAGGTCAACTTTTAATTGATTTGGTTAAAAATGTCCTTGAAATTGGGAGTAACAGAAATTATATACTATTCTACCCTAAACTTTATCATTTTAAAATATCTTTTCATAATACACAAGGACATGAAAGTCCATATCATGCACCAAACAAAACTCAAATGTTTACCTAGATATAAAATCTATCCTTAAGCAACTAACTGATTATGACTGTAAAGTACCTATAAAAGAGTTTCCAACTATAGCCACATGCTTCCCTTTGCCTTGTTCTGCTATATAGTTAGCATCAGCAGGAGTTCTAAGCAGACAGACATTCTTCAAATCAGCTCCAGGGCAAACAGGTTTTCTTGGACTGAAAGGAAAGCTACATAATCATAAGATCTATTTAAGATAAATTGATTAATAGTAAATTAACAGATGATCCCCATGCACAAGTTTTACTTTTCCTTTACAACGTAAGTCTTGAACAGGACTTTCAATCATTCAANTTTTCCCGTAACTCCTTCCGTAGGGTAGATAATTAGCATTTAATTTTGCCATTTTTGGACAAGGGTGCATTGCAATGAGTGCCACACCCAGACCCCAATACCGACAAAGCCCAAATTTTACGTGGAACGAGTTGAGATTATAGGTGACCTAAATCCATGAGATGGGTATGGGGGGCCTTACCGTCTAGGAGGAGAAGCGTAACGGTAGCCGTCCGGCGGAGCCGGCGGAGCCGGCGGAACGATCCGGACGAGACCGAAACCATGTGTACCGCCAGCGCTAACGCTGGTGGTACAATTAAAATCACTATTTCAAAAAAGGTACACTGCCAGCTTGCAGTTTGATTATTTACCTGCCCCCAGTAGCTATTGTCAAAGCATCATAGTTAATAGATGATCCATCTCTAAATGTGACACATTTCAGCATTGTGTCCACATTTACAGCCTGAAAATAACACTTTTTATTGAATTTTTAAAACTTCATACACTAATATGATAGCTTTATGGAAATTAGCATAAAAATATACATCTTTAACTATTTACACCTTTGGGTGGGGAGAAAAGCCAGGCTTGCAGTCCTAAGGCTTCCAACCTTACTTTTCATGGCATTAATTTCCTACCACCTTTAATAATTATGTCAAGTTCACACCACTAAATATGAGTGATGTCAGTAAGACTTTTCTCCTAAGTTCAACTTTATACCTTGTGCTGTGTGACTCCCATTTCTGCCATACCATAAAACATATTCATGAAACATAGCAAAAAGTTTTTAACAAAATTCAAGGTATGAGGTAAAAATTTTAAAAAAACAAACAGACTGAGTATAATATTGCTGAGAATAAAAAATGGTTTCATCTTAAGTAAAAAAATATGTGATGAATATTTCTAAAATATAATATTAAACTATAATAAATCAAGTCCTGAGACTAAAACTACAGATCTGAATAATAAATTACTCACTTCTTTATTGGTTTGAACATCAATATCATATACTTCATAAAAGTTTGCATCTCTGAGGGCAATCTCCTCAGCAGAGGACATGAGTGCCTGAAATAAGTTGTTCACAACAAACTCAAAAAGTACATTTTCCCACATAAAACTACAGGATCTGTTTTATTAAATCAGAAAAATATGTTTTTTCTTATAAAACCAATTCACAACATGACAGTTGATAATTTCTCTTATTTAGCATACTGTGTATTATATCTGTAAAAAGAGTACACATGAGCACTTACTTTAGTGAGTTTTGTTCTGTCATATGGTAAAGACAGCTCCTTGGTAGCTAAAATCAATCTCCCTTTGAATCCTTCTTGTCTTAATGTCTCTGCACAGGTCACTGAAGCTGCTCCTTATAATTTAATACCAAGAAACTAATCTTATCTTCTGCTTACCTACTCTTTTCCTTAACTATTCAGTTTTCAATTTCGATAATTTTCTACTGCAATATATGTAAATTATATGAAGCAAGTGTTTTCTTTTAAAATTATTCTATGTCTGTTTCAGCATTTAAATCAAAATTAAAAGAAGGGACAAAAAGGGTAAAAACTACATTAATATTGGTGTGCACAAATAAGAATTTTCATTTTAATGCCACAAATTCATGAAGAGAGGTCTTTAAAAAGGTGAAAAGGTCTTACCATTAAAACACACAGGGGTGCAATTTTATTTTAGAGACATGGCATTTTTGATTTCTAACATTTTGCATAGGATTAATCACCCAAATAAAATAGGTATTGTTATCTACCTCCTCCAATGATGAGGAAGACTTGTTCATTATCAGGTGACTGGCAGGACATGGGTTTCAGTCTTTTCTTGGACTGCATAGTGGAAGAGGATTTAACTATCACCCTGCCACTTCTCACCTCAACCTGGAATGATAAATACTCATATTGACTGTATAGATTAAATAATGAATCAATTTTAAGTAATATTCCACATTTACTACTACAAATAAAAGTAATATGCTATAAAATCTGTTAGGGTTAAAGCTTTCAGTAACTACACATGTATAACATTCTCATAATAACTATCAGACATTTTCACAGTTTTTAACCTCCAGAAAAGTTTATTAAGCACTATATCATAATTGCAAAATAAAATAGAATCTGATAAAAAAATTAAGTCAAAATTATAGGTATATCTGTAATAAACCTATATGCACTGCTGTACATTTGTTGATATCTTTTATTTTAAAACTCCTGTCATGTACTGTACTTACACTATACTTAGGAAGACTGTCAAGGCCTGGGAAATCTTCAATGTCTCCAGTTTTGACATTAAAACAAGCACCATGCCAAGGGCAACGCACTCTGCCATTGTACAACACACCTTAAAAGGAAATATAAAGACATAAATTAATATATTGGAAAAACTGAAAAACTTCAAGCAAATCTAGAATCTAGGGGCCCATCCCTCATCTTTTGTGTATTGCATATCAAATGAAACCCTGGGACCGCTTCTGTTCATAACTGTCAAAATTAAACTCACATTGACAGACAACTGCTGATTCAGTTTGCAGTCAGTGGAATGCCACAAAAAACCATGGGTAACAAGCAGTGTTTGCCTCTTAGGAAAATAAGTTGCTGGACCGAAAGTCCAGCCATCTTGAAAAGTAGCTGGACTGAATGTGTGCCAGGTGGAAAAACTTCTCAGCCCGTTCTGAAAGGTGTCAGCCCCGGGCAGACGGTCCAGCCTTAATTTCTTACACTGGTAACAAGTATTAGTATTGTCACTGTCAACACCAGGTGAATGTACTATACCTTTAGAAAGTTTTGCGCCATAATGAGTACATGTAGCTCCTACAGCAGTCAGTTCCCCATGGTCCTTCACCAATAATGCTGTCTGATCACCTATCATGACTTCTTGCATTCTGAAAGAGTACAAAATACAGGACATGTATACTATACATGATTGAAATCACCTCCCTTGATTAATATTAAATAATGTCCAGAACAGGCAACACTAATTATGTTGTATTTCCATCACTTTCTGATAAAATACAGTGTAATTAGAATGGATTCTTTTAAAAAATACTAAATGATAAATCAGTTATGATATTACAACAAAGTACAAACCAACTTAACAGTTATAACAAGAAAATCTTATTATGTATATTAACGAAAAACACATTAAGAAAGAAACTGATACGGCCAAATACCCACACCACGTTATGCCTCCAGCCATCAAATATTGTTAAATGATGTGACTTAAGGCTCATTCCCAATAAAACTACCCTTCTACGTAGATCAATCCCACTCTGTGGGGACTCTTGCTGAATGCAATCAGATTAACACATTAACACCCCTCCTCTTGTTTCCAACACACTCACATAATCACCAGCTTCTCTGTATTTTACTCAACACCAAGATGAGGCATATAAATCTGTTAAACTAACTGCATTCAGCAATACTATCAGTGTGGGATTAATATATGTAGAATGAATGAACCCTTACTCTCCCTCCTTTATTTCATTCTCTTCACACACATCAGTCTCAGTGTCAAGATCTACGGATGATGGCTCACACACATTCTGTGCCCCTTGAGGAGTACCTGGAAGTGCATAGCACTATTTTACTGACCATGTTAAATAACAACAAACACATATAATTTCATAAAAGAGCAGTCAACCTGTGTTTATGAGTATTGAAAAGTATGACTTAAAAGGTTCATTGTCTCTATATAATGCCAAATTAAAATCAAGACAACACAAATCAACAATTTCAAATATGTCATAATATTGTTTGGATGTGAAATTATCAGTCCTTACATGTACCTGCTTCTTTGGCTTGGTGTACATTAAGAGGCTCTGTTGAATTTTCTGATTTTGAAGCACCGGCTCCCATATCTTCAGCAAAACTTCAGTCAATGTGTCATATTCTGCAACAGGGTGCATAAACAGATAACAATCATAATCAACTGAAGCAAAGGCTATATTATTGATTAGTGTACTAAATAGATAAATAAATGATGTACCAAGATGTCATACACATTCATCAGTGTACCCTAGGGGTAGGTAGATAACATGTGTACCAGACAATACAATGTACTGTACTGTTGCTCCATTTGATATTTACATGTACTTGTATATATATTACTAACAACATCCAATTATCCTCAAAATACAAACAAACAAAAAATCCACATCTCAAAAATGTGTGCATCAGTGGCACCTGACGATTTGCTTGCCTGTTTGTATCCTGACAACCTGAAGGAGGTCAGTGCTTACATTTATTTAATCAGTAATAAAATTTAACTGATGACATTTTGGAGGGTAACAAACAAGTGAAATATCATATCCTATATCTGTGATAATTCAAATGATAAATTATTTGAAAGAAACTATCAAACAAATATCAAGAGATTAACTTAAAGCAAGATCCTGCACTCTAACACAACATAAGCTCTAAAGTAACAGAAATTCACACTGGACATCGCTGTGCTATTCGCACTGGTCGCGTATGTACTGTATAATGTAGTTACAGACATTTTACATCGATTATTTTTATTAATCACGGCTTATTAAACTTACTGGTTCCGGATATGAAAAAAATGTATTGTCCTGTTTTAAAATAAAGTTACATAATTTACATACGCAGAAATGTTTTGTATGTGAAAATGAGCAAGTAGTATCCACCGATATTGTTCGTGACGCCAACCTAGTTGAACTTTTTCCCAAACAACGGGTGTCAAGTCAGTGGGTATGTCGAGCTTAAAAATGAGTTCATACCGGTGTATCAACAAAATTTAAAAAATAATTAACATTTCAACACAGCCAAAATTATAGCTCTAAATATCTGGTAAATATTTAAAGTGCCATTCGGACTATAAAAATAGTGTAAAAAAAAAAAAAAAAGAAACGTGTTAGAAGTGGTATGGTTAATGCAAAATTCGACCGAGTTATCGTATATATAGGCCTAATCCATTGTAGCATTATAACGTGTCCTCATACAGCCTATAAAAAAGCAAGGCCCATCACGATTAATTTTATATGTCTACTACAAATAATGTGTAATCAATTTTTAAATCTATAATGTACAATCAGAATTGGAAATGAAAAATTATGCAATGCCCTTTATGTACAGTATAGACCTTTTTGAAAGTGTGTTGTCCGAAATTGTCAAGAAATTAATATATTGCTTCGCTTCACGAAAGACATATGTGCATAAAAATTAACCGTACTTCTTATCATCCATAGATTATTTTTCACGGGTGTTCTCAGGGGCGGATCCAGGATTATTTGAAGGGGGCGGGGGGTGTCCGGAACGACAGGCCTCGGATGCAAAGCCGACCATCGCATCGCCCCCTAGGCGTGGGGCTCGGGGCCTGCTCAAGGGTTCCGAAAAATTTTTTTGTGTTTTGGAGGGCAAACGGTGCCCTTTGACACGGTGTAGAACTATGATTCAGCAAGCCAAAATTCTAATTTCAATAGGGGAATATTGGTGTGATATATTATTCCGAAACCGAAGGGGGGGGGGGGGGCAGGTTCCCCTGACCCCCCCCCCCCCAAACCCCCCTTTGGTTCTCCCCTTTCCACTGATGG